AAATGGCCAACATTTTCTAATGCTACACCATTAAGCTGTATCTCTGGCATTGGGGAGGGGATGGCTGGTGACTGCTGGAACAGCACCAAGATAGATATAATAGTTCTTATGTTATGGGAGGTGTTTTAAGTGAATCTTGCCTGAGGTGATAGATAATAATAATATAAACATAACACAATAGCTATATGATATATATATATATATATATATACACACACACACACACACACACATACAGATAGGCCTGTAGCGAGGGGGGGGGTTAGGGGTTCAACCCCCCCCCCGAAATGTTTCAGATTTTTTTTAAAAAACCCAGTTTACTCATGAATGTTAACTGGTTAACCAAATCCCCATGCTAAGTCTATGAGATGCAAAAAATTAAGAGTCCCTCCAGAACTGCAAGCACTATCTCAAGCAAATATTTATTTATTTATTTATTTGAACTTATATGCCGCCACTCCCCTGGGGCTTGGAGCGGCTTACAAGAACAGGCTAAAATCGAACACAATTTAAAAACAATTTAAAACAATTTAAAAACAGCAATATCAGAGATCAAAGGCCCGTCGAAACAGGTATGTCTTACATGCCCTGCGGAAAGCTGATAAGTCCCACAAGGCACGGACTTCAGGTGGCAGAGTATTCCAGAGTGATGGTGCCACTGCTGTAAAGGCTCTGCGTCTGGTTGCTGTTAGACGCAAGGTCTTGACACTGGGAATTTCCAACAAATCTTGATCCTCAGAACGGAGGGATCTCTGGGGTTGGGAGGGGGTGAGGCGGTCCCTCAGGTACATCCGCCCCAGACCATGCAAGGCCTTAAATATTGACAATGTATTCACACTGTTATTACTTGCAGCAATAGCCGATGTAGTGAAGCAACGAAGTGGGGTGTGTGTGTGTTGAATGTTCTCATTAAGGAGGCCAGACTTGGTGGAGGTGGTTGACAGGGGCGGAGCTGCAGGCTACTGAAGGCTGCTCTGCCCCCTGCTGTGCTCTTGGCTTCAGCGTGAGCTAGGAGGCAGGTTTCAACCCCCTCCCCTGAAAATTTCAACCCCTCCTGAATTTTTTTTCTGGCTACGGCCCTGCCACTATAGCAGCCCAAAGTGCTGTCGCCAGAAAAAAAATTCGGGGAGGGTTGACAATTTCAGGGAGGGTTGAAAAGTGGGGGGGGGGGTTTGAAACCTGCCTCCTAGCTCACGTTGAAGCAAAGAGCACAGCAGGGGGCAGAGCAGCCTTCTAGGGCTGGGCGGTTTCGTTTCATAATTCGTTAAAAATTTGTTATTTTTTTTGATAACGAAGCGATAACAAACCATTCAGGAGCAACTAAAAAACGAAACGAATTTTTAAATTCATTTCGTAATTGGTTCAAATTCGTTTTGTATTCGTTTCGTTATCGTTTTGAAATCGTTTCGTTATTATTTCCGCATGTCTGGGGCAAGTTTTATAGTTGTTGTTTGTTTAATCAGTGAAAAAAAATTATAAATATCACACCAACAGTCAACAACAGAGGGAGAGGGAAGCTTCAGAAGTTCCCCCTGTCCCATTTGGAGGTTTTTTAGCGTATTTCGGTCGCGTCCGCCATTAACGAATCGATTCGTAATTGTTTCGTAATTGTTTCGTATTGTTTTGTAATTTTACGAAATTTCGTAAATATCGAACTTTTTTAAAGAAAAATTTCGGAATTCTTTTAAAAAACGAAACGCAAAAAACCCCTAAAAACGAATCGATTTTAGAAACAAATTTTTCCGTGGTTGCCCAGCCCTACAGCCTTCCATAGCCTGCAGCTCCGCCCCTGTCAACCACCTCCACCAAGTCTGGCCTCCTTAATGAGAGCATTCAACACACACACACCCAACTTGGTTGCTTCACTACATCAGCTATTGCTGCAAGTAATGACAGTGTGAATAAATTGTCAATCTTTGCTTGAGATAGTGCTTGCAGCTCTGGAGAGACACTTAATTTTTTGCATCTCATAGACTTAACATGGGGATTTGGTTAACCAGTTAAAATTCATGAGTAAACTGGGTTTTTAAAAAAAATCTGAAACATTTCGGGGGGGGGGGGTTGAACCCCTAAAACCACTGCCTCGCTACAGGCCTGGATATAATAGTTATGTTATGGGAGGTGTTTTAAGTGAATTTTGCCTGAGGTGATTTGACATTTATGCCAAGGATAATGACCCCAAGGCTGGGTCCCAACTCCTCACACAGAGATCTGTATATCCCAAAGGCGCCTCTGAGGTGTTTCCACGCCTGCCTGTCCACGAGGGTGGACCTTCCCGCGTCCCACAGCTCGAGGCGCTGAAGAGAGAGAGGCTCCCAAAATGGCGCCCCTCACCTCAGCCGACCCGCCCCTCCCCCACCCAAAAGAGACTCTGCTTCAGCCACGTTGCATGATGGTTAAATAGCCTGGCCCTATCAGCTTGACAGACCAACCACATTTGAGAGTGTGTGCTTCTGTGTAAAACAATATATAATTATTGATATATAAATATACGTATATATAAAACACACACACACATACATATGTGACAGGGATGAACATTGCTAAAGGTATCCAAGAGATTCTAAGGGCCAATTTATAGAGAAGCAGTTAAAGAAGTGGGACATTAGGAAAGCAACAACATTAATCTGTCGGGGGTGCTTTGAATACAATATTCCTGCTTCTTGCCAAGGAATTGGACTGGATGGCCCAACTCTTCCAACTCCATGATTCTATAAGTAAATTGTAATGCTGTTTTAATTCAATTTGCTCTGGGAGGTGTCTTTCTGCTAAGAGTGGAGTAAACATATTTAATTCAGTTAGTTTGAGGATCAGGACATCCGTAGGGATACCAAGGGGCTTGTTTATAAAGCTATTGTCCTCCCAAGCCTGCTATACACCTGCGAGACATGGACTGTCTACAGACGTCACATGCAACTCCTGGAACGATTCCATCAGCGCTGTCTCTGAGAAATCCTGCAAATCTCTTGGGAAGACAAGCGTATATACACACACACAGAGAGATAGATATAATAGTTCTTATGTTATGGGAGGTGTTTTAAGCAAATCTTGCCTGAGGTGAAAGATAATAATATAAACATAACACAATAACTATTATATACACACACACACACACACATACAGATAGATATAATAGTTCTTATGTTATGGGTGGTGTTTTAAGTGAATCTTGCCTGAGGTGAAAGATAATAATGTAAACATAACACAATAGCTATATGATTTGTTGTATTATTATTATTATTATTCATTCTGTCATTTCCGACTCTTTGTGACCTCATGGACCAGCCCACGCCAGAGCTCCCTGTCGGCTGTCACCACCCCCAGCTCCTTCAAGGTTAATCTAGTCACTTCAAGGATGGCATCCATCCATCTTGCCCTTGGTCGCCCCCTCTTCCTTTTTCCTTCCTTTCCCCCCAGCATAATTGTCTTCTCTAAGCTTTCCTTTCTTCTCATGATGTGGCCAAAGTACTTTATCTTTGCCTCTACTATCCTTCCCTCCAATGAGCAGTTGGGCTTTATTTCCTGAAGTATGGACTGGTTGGATCTTCTCGCTGTCCAAGGCACCCTCAGAACTTTCCTCCAACACCACAGTTCAAAAGCATCTATCTTCCTTCGCTCAGCTTCCCTATGGTCCAGCTCTCACATCGCGTTAAGTGAATAGCAGGGATACCATGCTTTGACTAGGTTTTAAGTATAGGCGGGCAGTGCTCTCTGAGTGGCTTTTCTCCTGACGTTTCGGCCTGCATTCTATGGCAAGTGGCATCTCCTCAGAGGTATCTATAAACTATGACCAAAAGGAATGGAGCCAAGAAGTCTTTCACAGGGCTCTGAGGCAGAATGGGCTGAACCAAAGAGCTCGGCCTATAGGGGGAGCCTAAGCTCCTGCTCTAAAACTTAACAGAATGGAACAGTCTAACTCCAGGGAAATAAACAGGCCGAGACTTCACACATATAGATATAATAGTGTGTTATGGGAGGTGTTTTAAGTGAATCTTGCCTGAGGTGATCTGACATTTATGCCAAGGATAGTGACCCCAAGGCTGGGTCCCAACTCCTCACACAGAGATCTGTATCCAAAAGGCATCTATCTCTGTGGTGTTTTAAACCCCCACAGATTTTGCAAACTTGGTAGTTGATTAAATGTCATTTGACCAGTATCTGACCACTTGGAGTGCCTCTGGTGTTGCTGCAAGAAAGTCCTCCATTGTGCATGTGGCAGGGCTCAGGGTGCATTGCAGCAGGTGGACAGTGGTTTGTTCTCCACACTCGCATGTCGTGGATTCCACTTTGTGGCCCCATTTCTTGAGGTTGGCTCTGCATCTCGTGGTGCCAGAGCGCAGTCTGTTCAGCGCCTTCCAAGTCGCCCCGTCTTCTGTGTGCCCAGGGGGGAGTCACTCATTTGGTATCAGCCATTGGTTGAGGTGCTGGGTTTGAGCCTGCCACTTTTGGACTCTCGCTTGCTGAGGTGTTCCAGCAAGTGTCTCTGTAGATCTTAGAAAACTATTTCTAGATTTAAGTCGTTGACGTGCTGGCTGATACCCAAACAGGGGATGAGCTGGAGATGTCTCTGCCTTGGTCCTTTCACTATTGGCTGCTACTTCCCGGTGGATGTCAGGTGGTGCAATACCGGCTAAGCAGTGTAGTTTCTCCAGTGGGGTAGGTGAGGTGAAAGATAATAATAATATAAACATAACACAATAGCTATTATACACACACACACACACACATACAGATAGATATAATAGTTCTTATGTTATGGGAGGTGTTTTAAGTGAATCTTGCCTGAGGTGATTTGACATTTATGCCAAGGATAATGACCCCAAGGCTGGGTCCCAACTCCTCACACAGAGATCTGTATCCCAAAGGCGTCTCTGTGGTGTTTCCACGCTTGCCTGCCTGCCTGCCCGTCCTCTGAGGGACTGAAGACAGAGGCTCCCAAGATGGCGCCCCTCACCTCAGCCGACCCGCCCCTCCCCCACCAAAAAGAGACTCCGCTTCGGCCGCGTTGCATGATGGTTAAATAGCCTGGCCCGGGAGCCCGCCATTTTCTGTCGGGGTCTGGCGGGAAAAGCGGGAAGCCCACGAAACAGCCGCCGCGGGACGACCAACGGCCGCTACACACCCCCGAGGAAGACAGCCAGGTAACTGGAGGCGCCTCTGCCTCGCGTTTCGCCTCAGGTTAGTTTCAGTTCGGGGAGGGGGAGAAAGTGAGGTCGCCTGAGGAAATTGCATCGCCCCCCCAACTCCCTTCACAGCTAGTCCCGCCTTTCGTCTGCATCCACTCTCTCATTGGCTGTTCACTGTTGCCTTGCTGATAGGTCAGAATCCTTAGCCGTATCTCGGACGAGGATTGGTTCATTGCTCCTGTCAATCAGAATATTTCTCTCTCTCTCTCTCCCCGCTCTTTCGCTCGGCTGGGCTATAAACCAATTGGCCCGCCAATTGGGGAAAAGTGGGCGGAGTCTATCACTGTTTCAATACGCATGCGTGGTTCTATGTTTCGCCCCAATCAGAGAGCGTCGTTCCCGCAAAGCCTCCCGGGAATTGTAGTTTTAAGCTGTATTTCACTAATAGCAGCCCCAGGTTGTTGCTCAGGTTGTTTCTGCTCCCAGAGATCATTGCAATGTTAAAAGAGGAAGCTTTGGGGCAGTCCTGTTTGGCCACTGTTTGTGTCTTCAACGTCCTAGCCACGCCCCCAGCCCAACCCTATTGGATGCTATAAATAGATGTGGCATCAGTAAGGGATGGGAAAGGGGGGGGGGCTCATGTTGCCATGGCAACATGCTTTTCTGCTTAGCCCCATAAGGAGAGCTTTGGGGATTGGCAGGACCCACTGAAAGATGGGAAGAAATCAACATCAATTGAAAAGAGAAGTTAGAGCTTTAGGGATTGGCAGGACCCACTGAAACATGGCAAGAAATCAACATCAATTGGTAATAGAAGTTATATTATATTATATTTATTATATTATATTTCCATTCTATTTGTTTGCTTACTGCTATTTACTGCTACAACTGGAAAATAGAGGGAGAAATCGTGGAGGCCGTGACAGACTTTGTATTTCTAGGCGCAAAGATGACTGCAGATGCAGACTGTGGCCAGGAAATCAGAAGACGCTTACTTCTTGGGAGGAGAGCAATGTCCAATCTCGATAAAATAGTAAAGAGTAGAGACATCAGACTGGCAACAAAGATCCATTGCCTAGTCAAAGCCATGGTATTCCCTGGAGTCACCTACGGATGTGAGAGCTGGACCTTAGGGAAGGCTGAGCGAAGGAAGATCGATGCTTTTGAGCTGTGGTGTTGGAGGAAAGTGCTGAGAGTGCCTTGGACTGCGAGAAGATCCAACCAGTCCATCCTCCAGGAAATAAAGCCCGACTGCTCATGGAGGGAAGGATACTAGAGACAAAGCTGAAGTCCTTTGGCCACATCATGAGGAGACAGCAAAGCCTAGATAAGACAATGATGCTGGGGAAACTGGAAGGCAAAAGGAAGAGGGGCCGACCAAGGGCAAGATGGATGGATGGCATCCTTGAAGTGACTGGACTGACCTTGAAGGAGCTGGGGGTGGTGACGGCTGACAGGGAGCTCTGGCGTGGGCTGGTCCATGAGGTCACGAAGAGTCGGAGACGACTGAACGAATGAACAACAACAACTGCTATTTATATAACAAGAGAAACATTTCAAAATAATAATAATAATAATAATAATAATAATATTTGCCGATACATCACACAGTTCTTAGCCCCATAAGGAGAGCTTTGGGGATTGGCAGGACCCACTGAAACATGGCAAGAAATCAACATCAATTGAAAATATATAAACATTTCAAAATAATAATAATAATAATTATTATTATTATTATTATTTGCCGATACATCACACAGTCCTTAGTCCCATAAGGAGAGCTTTGGGGATTGGCAGGACCCACTGAAACATGGCAAGAAATCAACATCAATTGGTAATAGAAGTTATATTTCTTATATTATATTTATTATATTATATTATATTTCCATTCTATTTGTTTGCTTACTGCTATTTATGTAACAAGAGAAACATTTCAAAATAATAATAATAATAATAATAATAATTATTATTATTATTATTATTTGCCGATACATCACACAATCCTTAGTCCCATAAGGAGAGCTTTGGGGATTGGCAGGACCCACTGAAACATGGCAAGAAATCAACATCAATTGGTAATAGAAGTTTTCTTATATTATATTTATTATATTATATTATATTTCCATTCTATTTGTTTTCTTACTGCTGTTTGTGTAACAAGAGAAACATTTCAAAATAATAATAATAGTAATAATAATAATAATAATAATTATTATTATTATTATTATTTGCCGATACATCACACAGTCCTTAGTCCCATAAGGAGAGCTTTGGGGATTGGCAGGACCCACTGAAACATGGCAAGAAATCAACATCAATTGGTAGTAGAAGATTTCTTATATTATATTTATTATATTATATTATATTTCCATTCTATTTGTTTGCTTACTGCTATTTATGTAACAAGAGAAACATTTCAAAATAATAATAATAATAATAATAATAATAATAATAATACATCACACAGTCCTTAGTCCCATAAGGAGAGCTTTGGGGATTGGCAGGACCCACTGAAACATGGCAAGAAATCAACATCAATTGATATTAGAAGTTTTCTCTCATATATATATCTATATAAATAAAAATGTAATGTTTGTTTGTGGGATTAACAGAACTCAAAAACCAATGGACGAACTGACACCAAATTTGGACACAATATTTATTTATTTATTTAGCAATTTTGTATACCGGTCTTCTCCCTTCTATCGGGGGACTCGGGCCGGTTTCCAACAATAAAATCACAAAACAGTCATTAAAAACATCATATAACATATTCAATTAAAACGTTATAACAGTAAAATGCAATCACATAATAACAATGGTCAATCGTCATAGTGAATTCGTTGTCCATCATTCATCGTCATTTATCCGATCACAGAAATATTGATTCACTCGTCGAAAGCCAAACCCCATAGCCAGGTTTTCACCCGTTTTCTGAACGACAGAATGGAGGGTGCAGTTCTATCTAACAGTCCAACGAGTGTCCATCACCCATAAACACACACACGCACACAAACAAAACCCCAGCAGAACAGACTTAAAAACCCAAAAAATACACCATACATATACACTCATACATATGCACACATTCATACACACACACGTGTGTGTGTGTGTATATATATATATATATATATATATGCACATATACATGCACACACATGAATACATCTATACTATAGACAAGCACACACATATACACAATATGCATGTACACATATAAATACACAAATATACAAGTATATATACATACCTATATACAGCCCCACACACACATATATATATATCTGCACAAACACACATATGTACACAAATATATACACACACAAAACACATATGCACAGACTGGGCCACAGCAATGTGTGGCAGGGGACAGCTAGTATATATATATATATACACACACACACACACACACACACACATATGTCCATTCTATTTCTTTGCTTACTGCTATTTATGTAATACTAGCCGTCCCCTGCCACGCGTTGCTGTGGCCCACATGGGGGTTCTGTGTGGGAGATTTGGTCCAATTCTATCATTGGTGGGTTTCAGAATGCTCTTTGATTGTAGGTGAACTATAAATCCCAGCAACTACAACTCCCAAATGTCAAGGTCTATTTCCCCCAAACTCCATCGTGTAGAGTTTGGTCCAGATCCATCATTGTTTGAGTCCACAGTGATCTCTGGATGTAAGTGAACTACAACTCCAAAATCAAAGGACACTGCTCACCAAACCCTTCCAGGGTTTTCTGTTGATCATGGGAGTTCTGTGTGGAAAGTTTGGCCCAATTCTATCATTGGAGGGGTTCAGAATGCTCTTTGATTGTAGGTGAACTATAAATCCCAGAAACTACAACTCCCAGATGACAAAATCGGTTTTTTTTTGAGTGAAGGACCTACATTGGGTTGTTAGGTGTCTTGTGTCCAAATTTGGTGCCAATTGCCCTGGTGGTTTTTGAGTTCTGTGAATACCACAAACGAACATTACATTTTTATTTATATAGAAGAGACAAACATTTCAAAATCATATGCACCAATGGGAGCATATGATGCGCAAAATACATTCACAATGCAGCGCAAACTGTGAGCTGCCTTAAATATCTCGAATCTTAGACATCAATTCATTCCTCAAAGGCACAGGATCCTGTAAAATCTTGGAAGCTAAGTTGGGTCAGCCTTGGTTGGTACTTGGAAGGGAGGTCGCCAATGGATACTCAGTGCTGTTGACAATATTTCAGAGGAAGGAACTTGCAAAGTCAGCTCTTGAGTCTTTTCTTGACCTAAAAAAACCCCTGTTCAGTTAATGAGGTCACTGTAATTCAGGTGACACACACCTTCCAAAACGCATCCAGAAACATGACTAAAGACAGATATCTTGAAGGAATCTTTTAAAATATTTACAATTGTATTTTGACAAATTGGACCCAGTGAGCCACATTCCTTAAAAGGGATTTTCCCCTGTTTGCAAAGGGATCAAAACATCCGCAGTGATCATATGGAGAACCAGCCATGACAGCAGAGCTTCATAAGTGGCATGTGATAAATGGATCACACAGTAATAAAATTCAGTTAGTTTTGACCTAGAGACTATTAATTAAACTCAAAGAGCAAACTGGCCAGGCAGAGATAATGCTAAGATTCAGAGTGAAATCAACAGTCGACTTTAATGCATGCACACACAAACACACACACATATATATATACACACACACACGGGACCCCTCGCAGCACAGTTGGTTAAACTGCAGAGCTGCTGATCTTGCTGACGAAAAGGTTGGCGATTTGAACCCAGGGAGCAGGGTGAGCTCCTGCTGTTAGCTCCAGCTTCTGCCAACCTAGTGGTTCGAAAACATGCAAATGTGAGTAGATCAATAGGTACCGCTCTGGGGAAGGTAATTGCACTCCAGGCAGTCATGCTGGCCACATGACCTTGGAGGTGTCTGTGGACAATGCCGGCTCTTGGGCTTAGAAATGTAGATGAGCACCAACCCCCAGATTCGGATACAACTAGACTTAATGTCAGGGGAAACCTTTAGAGTTACTGTATATACTCGAGTATAAGCCTAGTTTTTCATCCCTTTTTGTAGACTGAAAAAGTCCGCCTCGGCTTATACTCGAGTCAAGGTTATTTATTATTTTACTCTGCTATTGTTGTTGTTGTTGTTATTATTTTACATTTATTATTTTACTCTATTTATTATTATTATTATTATTATTATTATTTATCATTTTACTCTTACACTTATTATTTTACTTTATTATTGTTATTATTACATTTATTATTTTACTCTTATTATTACTGTTATTATTATGTTTCCCTTATTTTATTCTATTATTATTATTATAACATGTATGATTTTCCTCTCTTTATTATTTTTATTATGAGTCACCTTCGGGCTGATATGGGTGCGATACAAATGTTGTAAATAAATAAAATAAATAATTGGAAGGATGCTTAAGCACATTTACATCGAAGAAGCTTAGAATAATGGTTTAATCAGAGTTGGACAGTCTTATCTTAAATTTCAGTTTTATGTAAATATCCAAAAACATTTAACCTCCTGATGTCTCAATTAATGTAATTTTATTGGTATCTATTTTTGTTTTGAAATTTACCCGTAGCTGCTGCATTTCCCACCCTCGGCTTATACTCGAGTCAATCGGTTTTCCCAGTTTTTTGGGGTAAAATTGGGTGCCTTGGCTTATATTCGAGTCGGCTTATACTCGAGTAAATACGGTATTTCTGATACAAAGAAAATTAGTATAGATTTCAAAATGGGCTGCTTCACTCGCTGTAAATAATTTCAGTAGATGTAGGTCCATGTAAATAAACAGGAGTAATTTTACAAAGTAAACAATTCCTTTGGGAGTTTAGAAAGTGGGTATCGGAGGGTATGGTGAGGCACTAGAGTGGTATTGGGAATTGGCCAGGATTCACAGATTATGACCTCAAATCCCCTACATTAATTCATTATGGAGGTTTTCCTGTCAATTACTGGAGATCCTAGAAAGGGGGTCACTTGTCCCCCTAGGCTGAATTTTGCCTGGCCTGCTCTACAGTTTTTAAGAGTCAAAAGCTTTTGTCGAGCTATTAACAGCCTTCAGTTTCCCTATAAGCATTAATCTAATGCACTTTTTTTCCATTGGCAGGTTTCCTACCTTCTAAGGACCGTCCAGAATGGCCCGTACCAAGCAGACTGCCCGTAAATCCACTGGAGGGAAAGCCCCTCGAAAGCAGCTGGCCACTAAAGCTGCTCGGAAAAGTGCACCGTCCACCGGGGGAGTGAAGAAACCCCATCGCTACAGGTACGTGGAACGCACACTTAGGGGCAGCTTGTCTTCAGTGTTATGAAGTGGAAAGGGTCCTTTGTGGCGCTGGGGATTTGGGAAGGCATACTTTAAACAGCCTTGGCTTCTAACGGAGCCTCCAAGAGAAATGCAGAAATGAGTTGTAAGGTTTTTTTTCTTCGTTGGATAGAAATGCGAGCTATGTTTGTGTCATTTCCTTCAGGCCTGGCACCGTGGCGCTGCGAGAGATCCGGCGGTACCAGAAATCCACAGAGTTGCTGATCCGCAAGTTGCCATTCCAGCGCCTGGTCCGCGAAATCGCTCAGGACTTCAAAACAGACCTGCGGTTCCAGAGCGCCGCCATTGGAGCCCTGCAGGTTTGTGTCTTTTTCCCTTCTCATTCTGCCAACCTAGCAGTTTGAAAACATGCAAATGCGAGTAGATCAATAGTTATCGCATCGGGAGGAAGGTAACGGTGCTCCATGCAGTCATTGAGGCGTCTGCGGACAACACTGGCTCTTCGATGTATTGTCGAAGGCTTTCATGGCTTCAATCACTGGGTTGTTGTAGGTTTTTCAAGCTGTATGGCCATGTCCTAGAACAGTGGTCCCCAAACTAAGGCCCGGTGGCCGGATACGGCCCTCCAAGGTTATTTGCCTGGCCCTCACTCAGGGTCAACCTAAGTCTGAAACTACTTGAAAACACACAACAAAAACAACAATCCTATCTCATCAAGCAGCCCCACATTTCCCATTGAAATACTAATAAGTTTATATTTGTCAGAATTGTTCTCCATTTTAATTATTGTATTATTCTTAAGTGTTTTTTACACTACAAATAAGATATGTGCAGTGTGCATAGCAATTCATTCATATATTTTTTTCAAATTATAATCCGGCCCTCCAGTTTGAGGGACTGTGACCTGGCCCTCTGTTTAAAAAGTTTGAGGACCTCTGTTCTAGAAGCATTCTTTCTTAACGTTTCGCCTGCATTTGTGGCAAGCATCCTCAGAGGCTGTGAGGTTTTCTCACAACATCTGAGGATGCCTGCTACAGATGCAGGTTTGGTCCAGAGCCATCATTGTTTAAGTCCACAGTGCTCCCTGGATGAAGGTGAACTACAACTCCAAAACTCAAGGGCAATGCCCACCAAACACTTTCAGTATTTTCTGTTGGGAGTTCTGTGTGCCAGGTTTGGTGCAATTCTAACATTGGTGGAGTTCAGAATGCTCTTTGATTGTAGGTTAACTATATATCCCAGCAACTACAACTCCCAAATGACAAAATCAGTACCTCCCACCCAACCCCATCCGTATTAAAATTTGGGCAAATCAGGTATTTGTGCCAAATTTGGTCCAGTGAATGAAAATACATCCTGCACATCAGATATTTACATCACAGTTCCTAACAGTACCACAATTACAGTTGCAAAGTAGCAAAGGAAATAATGTTATGGTTGGGGGGTCACCACAACATGAGGAACTATATTAAGGGGTCGCGACATTAGGAAGGTTGAGAACCAGTGGCTTTAAACCAGGGGTCCTCAAACTAAGGCCTGGGGGCCGGATACGGTCCTCACTCAGGGTCAACCTAAGTCTGAAACGACTTGAAAGCAAACAACAACAATAATAATCCTATCTCATCACACAAAAGTAGTCCTACACTTCCCATTGAAATACTAATAATTTTATATTTGTTAAAATTGTTCTTCATTTTAATTATTGTATTGTTTTTAAGTGGCTTTTGCACTACAAATATGATATGTGCAGTGTGCATAGAAATTCATTCAAGTTTTTTTCAAATTATAATCCGGCCCTCCAACAGTTTGAGGGACTGTGACCTGGCCGTCTAATTAAAAAGTCTGAGGACCCCTGTTTTAAACTATCTTGCCTCAGAGAAAGGAGGAAGATTCCCCCTCCCTCTATCCCTTCCTTCTTTCTCTGAAGGCAGGGCAGTTTACAGAAACTGAAATGGAGCTCTCTGTAGGAAGAAACAAGGTTCCAGAAACCTCAATTTCAGTTTTTTTAAACTGCCTTGCCTAGGAAGGAAGGAAGGAAGGAAGGAAGGAAGGAAGGAAGGAAGGAAGGAAGGAAGGAAGGAAGGAAGGAAGGATCAGCCCCTAATGGCTCTGCGAATATTATGTGAGGAACACAACAATAACAATCCCCCCCCCCCCCCAAAAAAAATCAGGGTGCGACTATTATCCAATGAAATACGGGCCTTTTCTGCCTGTTTACCCTCCCTCTCTGCATCGGTGTTTGTTCTGGAGAGGCCCTGCTCACGCTCTCACCTCCCTCACAGGTGCGACTGGTGGGGACAAGGGAGAGGGCCTTCTCGGTAGTGGCCCCCCCGACTCTGGAACTCACTTCCCAAGGATATCAGGCATGCCCCAACATTGGCAGTCTTTAGGAGGAGCCTGAAAACGTGGCTGTTACGGTGTGCCTAGCAATATGTCCTCAGAATGCACTTTAACTATTGGATTGGGTTGGACTGCGCTCTCCTCACTTCCTTTGAAACTCTCCTACCAGATATATCCTACCTTGTTCATGCCCAGCGTTAATTTTTTAAATTTTAAACTATTACATTTGGTCCGGACATAGGTTTTTTAATCCTTGTGTGTTATTGTTTATTATTTATATATGATTTATATTAATTGTATTGTATTGTTTTGTTTATTGCTTTCCTGTTTTATTGATGTGTTGTTGGGCTTGGCCTCATGTAAGCCGCTCCGAGTCCCTTGGGGAGATGATGGCGGGGTATAAATAAAGTGGTTGTTGTTGTTATTATTATTATTACTATTACTATTATTATTATTATTATCCAAACACAAACATTTTGGTGCTCTTTTGACTGGTTTATGCAAACACTGTCACATTTTGGACTCTTTGAGTGGTGAATCCGAACGGTGACATCATCATCATCATCATCATTATTATTATTCCCTCCAAACTGGGCTCTTCTTGACCGTGTTTCTCTCTTTCTTTGCGTTGACAGGAAGCCAGCGAGGCGTACCTCGTGGGTCTGTTTGAAGACACCAACTTGTGTGCCATCCACGCCAAGCGGGTCACCATCATGCCAAAAGACATACAGCTGGCCCGCCGCATCCGTGGAGAGCGGGCCTAAGTCCTCCCCCCCCCCCCCCCCCCCCCCCCCCCCCCCCCCCCCCGTCTCTTTAACATTTACGGCCCCTCCCTGGGCAAACCCCCACCTTGCTTGTGCAGTGTACTTAGAATACACTCCAGATTTTTCTTTTTTATTATTATTATATTATTATATTACTATTATTTCTCCTAACTCCTGTTTGTAGTGGCTAGGACATGTGAGGAAATGTTAGATTATTATCTATCTATTGTAGTTACCTCTCCAAAATCAGGAGACTTGATTCCTGTTCATCATGTACAAGCAAAAACAAACAAACGAGAAAAAAAAACCCTTTGAAATCTGCAAGACTTCTGGATGTTGTTTTTTGTAAAACTTTTTTTTTCAGAATTGCAAAAAAACAAAACAAAAACATACCCGACAGGGGACATTTTTTGAAATATCTGGTTTTGTACTCACAACGTAGATGTAGGCATTTCAACAATAAGAGCTTTGGGTCTTCAGTTTGTAAAATATCTGCAAAGAACACTATACTTCTTATTTTCCCTTTCGTTCGCTGGGTCTTTTATTTGCCTTTGTATTTAGGCTAGAAGTGCTTTCTAAATCCTTTTTTCCCTGTTTTCCATTTGTCTTGTGTCTGTGATTCTGATCTTTGTACCAATAGGGACTCACCTTGAAGCAGTAAGAAAAAAAATAATAAATGTTGAATGACAACACCACGGATTCCTTAGTTTTTTGCTTTATGGTGACTTAAAGAAGGCATTATTTATTTATTTATTTATTTACAGCATTTATATTCCTCCCTTCTCACCCCCAGGGGACTCAGGGCGGATTACAGTGTACACATATATGGCAAACATTCAGTGCCAATTTTTGACATACAAACATACACAGACATACACAGAGGCTATTTAACTTTTTCCGGCCGCCAGGGGAGCTGTCACTTTCATCGTCCATCTGCGACACTGATGAAGTACTTCCGCATTCCCCGCATGCTTTTTTGCTGGAGTGCTTTGCTGGAGTCTTTTTTATGGCATCATAAATTAGTTAATTTAGCCTCCCCACACTTTAAAGTAGTACCTAGTTTTCCTACTTTATTATACATACCTGTGTTTATTAGGAAGCAAGACTTTAGAGTCTTTCTGTGGGCCCTTCCACACAGCTCTATATCCCAGAATATCAAGGCAAGAAATCCCACATTATCTGAGTGTGGACTCAGATATTCCAGTTCAAATTGTGGGATTTTCCGCCTTGATATCCCAGTATATAGGGCTATATCCTGGGCCCTTCCAGACAGACCTTCTATCCCAGGATCTGATCCCAGGTTTTCTGTTTATCCCAGATTATCTGGCAGTGCGGACTCATACGAGGGTTGAATAAAAACTAATGCCTCCACCTTCGTAACTCCTCAACAGATGGCAGTACTGGTATGTGGCAGGTCCTGGCTTGTTCAGTAGACTCTCCTCTACAGTTCCATTTTGGCGGGAAGCCTTAGCATTGAACGGTTGTGTTGTTAAAGTGCGAAGTATGGAACCCTGTGCAGACAGCCGGTCAATGTGACTTAAACAATGTGCAGTCACTGAATTCTTGACAGCAGAAGATGTCACCTCAACATCTTTAAATTTACTCTTTGAGTGATACGACGATCGTCCTGAATCTGTCAACCTTTTGCTTGTGAAACTTGGTGGTTGCTGTCACAGGACGCCCAACTTTTTGTTTGTTATGCAAGTCAGATGTTCCCACCTCAACATTTTAAACTTACTTGCCCAACGACGCACAGTACCCACATCAACACCATCGTCATAAACAGCTTGCATTCTCTGATGAATCTCCTTTGGGGTGACACCTTCTCCTGTCAAGAATTCAATGACTGCACATTGCTTAAGTCGTATTGACCGACAGTCTGTGCAGGGTTCCATACTTCGCACTTTAACAAGACAACCATTCAATGCTAAGGCTTCCTGCCAAAATGGAACTGTAGAAGAGAGTCTACTGAACAAGCCAGTACCTGCCGCATACCAGTCCTGCCATCTGTTGAGTTACGAAGGTGGAGGCATTACTTTTCATTCAACCCTCGTATAATCCAGTTTAAACCAGAAAACCTGGGTTCAGATCCTGGGATATTGGGTCTGTCTGGAAGAGTCATAAAGCTGATGTCTTGATCCAGAACTCGGCCTTTCGTAAGATTTCTTTTTTCAGTCATGGATGCTGATACGTGTTGCCACTGTAATATGTTTGATTGGCGGTAAATGATGTTGGAGATGGTGCACAACAGATAAATTTTCCAGGATCCAGCAGAACTGACCTCCCAAATGAACCCTATCCAAACTACCACACAGTTGGCAATTAATTCAGTTCCCATTTCTGGACATTATTTATTTATTTATTTATTTATTTATTTACTATATTTCTACCCTGTTCTTCTCACCTCAAAAGGGACTCAGAGCGGCTTAAAGTTTGGCCACTTCTGTGCCACTGCATGGCTACCAGCCTCCTCCCAGTAGACTCAAATCAAGGAAAGCTTCATGAGAACCCCCACTCCTCTTAATGTTCCCCCTGCAACAGCAAGACTATCCTTGGTGAGGTGGATCTGTAATTGGTTAAATGGACGAACCCAGAGGGTGCTCACTAATGCTTTCTCTTCATCTTGGAAAGAAGTGACGAGCGGAGTGACGAGCGGAGGGTTCCGTCCTGGGCCCGGTCCTGTTCAACATCTGTATTAATGACTTAGATGAAGGGCTAGAAGGCAGGATCATCAAGTTTGCAGACAACACCAAATTGGGAGGGATAGCCAATAGTCCAGAGGACAGGAGCAGAATTCAAAACGATCTTGACAGATTAGAGAGATGGGCCAAAACTAACAAAATGAAGTTCAACAGTGACAAATGCAAGATACTCCACTTGGCAGAAAAAATGAAATGCAAAGATACAGAATGGGGGACACTGGCTCGAGAGCAGTACGTGTGAAAAAGATCTTGGAGTCCTCGTGGACAACAAGTTAAACATGAGCCAACAATGTGATGTGGCGGCAAAAAAAGCCAATGGGATTTTGGCCTGCATCAATAGGAGCATAGTGTCTAGATCTAAGGAAGTAATGCTACCCATCTATTCTGCTTTGGTTAGACCACATCTGGAATATTGTGTCCAATTCTGGGCACCACAATTCAAGAGAGATATTGACAAGCTGGAATGTGTCCAGAGGAGGGCGACTAAAATGATCAAGGGTCTGGAGAACAAGCCCTATGAGGTGCGGCTTAAGGAGCTGGGCATGTTTAGCCTGAAGAAGAGAAGGCTGAGAGGAGATATGATAGCCATGTATAAATATGTGAGAGGAAGCCACAGGGAGGAGGGAGCAAGCTTGTTTTCTGCTTCCCTTGAGACTAGGACACGGAACAATGGCTTCAAACTACAAGAGAGGAGATTCCATCTGAACATAAGGAAGAACTTCCTGACTGTGAGAGCCATTCAGCAGTGGAACTCTCTGCCCCGGAGTGTGGTGGAGGCTCTTCTTTGGAAGCTTTTAAACAGAGGCTGGATGGCCATCTGTCAGGGGTGATTTGAATGCAATATTCTTGCTTCTTGGCATGGGGTTGGACTGGATGGCCCATGAGGTCTCTTCCAACTCTTTGATTCTATGATTCTATGTTGTGCAACAGCAGATTTTAGCCATGTCCCATGCAAAAGAAACACAGGCAAGAGGAAAATGAACAGAAACATCTTTACTCTTATCAGCAGAGGCAAAACATCAACTTACAGTGTTGCATACAAAGTCAAACAGTGCAACAAACTTATACAGTTCTTGTAAGTAACACAGAATAAGGCTTTTTCATCTTTAGTCAAATGAGTGAGCAAAACATAAACCTTGAGTAAATAGCTATTCCACCATAGCAAAGAGTTTTGCTGCCTGAGCGTTGCTAACTCAGCATCTCTAAACTGTATTCTAAAATCCATACAGTTACACCCCACTGGGTGTCGCCCAAAACATGCTGGCTGAGGAAGAAGACTCGGGTTTCAAAAGCTACTTTTTTTGCATTCTGGATTTAGTAGGTGGAGAGTGCCACCTTGTGGTGATTATTGTTTTTAAAAAATGATGATTGACAGCCTTTTTAGGTGTCACAAAGGTGGAAAAAAAACTACTGTAGTCTCGAAGGTAGATTCCATAACATCTATCTTTGGGTCAAAAACAACATATTGAATTATGCCTAGAAAGACTATGAAGTTATATTTCTCATCCGCAAGAAGTTGAGAGGTTGTAGATGGCTTTCATGGCCGGAATCACCTGGTTGCTGTGAGTTTTCTGGGCTGTATAGCCATGTTCCAGAAGCATTCTCTCCTGACGTTTCACCCACATCTATGATAGCCATCCTCGGGGGTTGTGAGGTCTCTTGGAAACTAGGCAAGTGAGGTTTATATATTTGTGGAATGTCCAGGGTGGGAGAAAGAACTCTTGTCTGCTTGAGGCATGTGTGACTGTTGCAATCGGCCATCTTGATTAGCATTGAATGGCCTCGTAGCTTCAAAGCCTGGCTGCTTCCTGCCTGGGGATCCTTTGTTGGGAGGTGTTAGCTGGTTCTGATTGATGCCTGTCTGGAATTCCCCTGTTTTCTGAGTGTTGCTCTTTTATTTACTGTCCTGGACACAGCATATTATTTGAGAACACAGATGCTGGAGCACTCTCACAACCACCATGTCAGACTACACAGAGAAGCCATTGAAATCTACAAGCAAGTGGACAATTTCAACAGAAAGGAAGAAACCATGGAAATCAACAAAATCTGGCTACCAGTATTTTTAAAAAAAACTCCTAGAATCAGGACAGTAAATAAAAAACAACATTCAAAAACAAGAAACAATCAGTGCCAGCTAGCACCTCCCAACAAAGGATTCTCCCAGGCAGGAAGCAGCCAGGCGTTGAAGCTGCAAGGCCATTAAATGCCAATCAAGGTGGCCAATTGCAACATTCACACTTACCACAAACAGAGTTCTTTATCCCACCCTGGACATTATTCCACAGAGATATAAACCTCACTTGCCTAGTTTCCAACAGATCTCACAAACTCTGAGGATGCCTGCCATAGATGTGGGTGAAAAGTCAGGAATTAATGCTTCTGGAACGTGTTCCAACAGCCCTGAAAACTCACAGCAACCCAGTTGAGAGGTGTTTTTTTTAAAAACATCTTGAGATTTCTGTTTTCTTTTAAAGAAACCAATGGAGTTTCTAGGCCTCATGTTCGTGATTTCAGAATTAAGCAGGAGGATATCTGTGCCAAGTATCAACAGCAGTGAGGGCAAAGGGTTTTTGGTCCAAAGAACCAAAGTATTCTGTTCATTGCAAATTTCCAATGCAAGGTAAAAGGCAAAGGTTTCCCCTTGACATTAAGTCTAGTCATGTCTAACTCTAGAGGCTGGTGCTCACCTCAATTTCTAAGCCAAAGAACTGGCGTTGTCCGTAGACGCCTCCAAGGTTATGTGGCCGGCATGACTTTATGGAGCGCTGTTACTATCCTGCAAAAGCAGTACCTATTAATCTACTCACATTTGCATGTTTTTGAACTTCTAAGTTGGCAGAAGCTGGGGCTAACAGCAGGAGCTCATCCCGGTCCCCGGATTCAAACTGCTGACCTTTTGGTCAGCAAGTTCAGCATAAAATCATAGAATCATATAATCAAAGAGTTGGAAGAGACCTCATGGGCTATCCAGCCCAACCCCCTGCCAA